CAGGTGCAGCGTGATTCAAATTTATGGTATTACGCTTAGGAAAATTTACCAGTCATTTTAACAAACGAAGTTTGTAGCATCCAAAATTATCATATAAATTTTTCTAAAGCTAAAATGCACAAAATGAATAGAGCGATTTTAGTAGCGAACAGATGTTGTTGTCCAGTATCAAGGTCTGGGGTGACCCTGATGATCCATTTGAAAAGGATATTCAGAATGTATGCCTCTCAGTGAGATCTCTTGGCTAATCTGTTCCTTCGTGCATCGAAACGGAAAATTTTTTGTCTCTTGATGTGAGTACCTGTTCAGAAAGACCTTCCGCATATATAGTTTCTAGCTATCAATTCCATGAAGATTCGATGCCCTAATATTATGCACAGCCGGCAAGAAATGACAAATTTAATTAGTTCACCTATCATGGTGGCTAGTCCTAAAATAGCACAGTTGTGTTAGTCTGCCTGGGCAGTAAGACCACTGTGTGATCGATGGAAATCTATTCTAAGTTTAATGATCAAGGAACTGTGTATACAGCAACTTGGTGTTTCGTTCGCTATTTATCTTTTTGTTATAAAGCGAGGACATTTTTCGCTTCTCTGCTCCCTTTGCACTCTGATTGTTTCCGTTTTCGGCTTGTTTCACTCTTTCCTTTGAGACGAGGTCTTTTCTTGATATTCCTCTGGAGCGCTCGACATTCTTTGAATGAGTGGAATTCAGTAATCAGTCAGTCGTTATCATTATTAACACACCGTTAATTGGAGCATTTACATGGAACTGGTTGACTTGATACTGCTGAATAGCTGGTGTTGAAATTATTCTTAAACTTTGCTTATGAATTCAGTCTAAATTCAGCCTCTTTCCAAATGATAGAGACATTATGCAAATTTCACGTCATTTTTTGTCGCGCGGTCTCACAGCGGTGCCAGTGGTTTTCCTTCCATTCCTCATTGGAATCAGTCTTTGTTTTTTAATTGTTATTATTGTCTTCTTCAAATAGTGTTCGTAATTCCGATGTCATCAGTGCTGGTTGACAATGTCGTTCGCTTTTCTGCATTCCAGTAAATGGAAAACAAAAATGAAGGTTTATTCAGCTTTTAAAGTTATTACAAATAGCTATTTTTGCGTAAAATTGCGTCTCTGAACTTATTAATAATGAACGATAGACGACGTGAGTGATGAAAAGGTGCGTCATGCGAGGCTTAAAGTTCTTGTTCTTACTGGTGGTGCAGTCTTCTAGTACTTATGGTACTTGTTACTCCATGGTTCTATCTCTTCCAAGCAATCATCGTTGTTCAGAGATCGTCCCCAAATCAGACCTTGTTTCTAAGCTTATCCTTCGTTAATAGTTAGCGGTATATCATTCAACTAATAATCTGTTGGATTGAAGATAAACGCATTACTAAGAATGCACCACCGGCGTATCTTAAAAATAGGTGTGGGCCTCTGGTTTACTTTAAACGGATAAGTCTTCTGGTTAGATGCTTGGAAAGACGTAAAACAAGACAAAAAATTTATTTTTAAATCTTCCCAGATTTTGAGTACGATAAAGTTTATCTCCTTTTCGCTTTAGGCCATGAAGAAAAAGTCGGCGATACGGATATGGATTTTGTTCTGCATCATATTGTTGTCGTTTACGCTTTTGTTCTTGGATTGGTATAATGCCTGATCAAAATTTGTACTTATGTTCATTTACGGTACTGTCTTGTTTCAGTGTATAAAATGAACAGTAAGGCAGATACAAAATGCGGTTTAAAGTTTGAAAAGAAATTTCAATGATACTCTACGCCCTGCTGCATTTCTCAGAACCTGAATGATATTATTCTGTCAGCGCACCACCAAATGATGTATAATGAAAGTAGGATGTTTATATTGTCAGAATTTATTAATCATGTGTTCATAGGTAATCATCATTGCAATAAGAATCATACATTGCTTTCTTTTGCTGTTCTTAATGACTGAAGTTGCCCTCTAAATCGTTCCTAGCAGCAATTTTGCCCTCTTCAAAGTGTACCGTTTGACGCTCGTTGTTTTTTAGAATTTAATTTTTAAGGACTAATTGTTTCGTTCTGATTTTTTTCCTGAATTACGGATGATATCAAACGCACACCTTTAAACAAATCTTTGCTTTACGCGAGAATTTGAGAAATTGTGGGAATGCGCTCATTCCATTTACGTCTGCTTTGTGGACCTTGAGAAAATGCGTAACCGGATCTCGTGCAACAGTCTGTGGACATGGCTGCGAACATATAGGATCGATGGCTAGTTGCTACGAGCCATGTAGTCATTATATGCTGATTGAAAGTGCTCTATCAGAGTAAATGGCATTAAATCGAAAACTTTCAGCATTCGCGCTGGTCTGTGCCAAGGCTACTTATCCTTCCCTGTTTGTTGTACATGAATAGAATAGTCAGGCTCAGCCAGTGCGATGAGTGTATCAGTGTGAGGGATGTCATGACGAGAAGATTGCTGTTTGCAAACGACCTTGTTTCCTTTTCTAAAATTGATTTCCAGAATGAATTATATCTGAGTGTGATGTGCGCTACCGTGTCTAATACCAAAGGCCTAGGCTCTTTCTCGTTTCCTTGCCCGCTATACTCTTTAGATAAACGGATCAGCAGAGGAACGGGTGGAAGTTTCCGTACCTCAGAATGGTGTTTACTGGCGATGGAAAATGGGAGGAATAGATCGACCGGCGAAGAATGATGTCTAACAGCGTTCTGTGTGAAACGATCCCAAACCGTTGTGACTCAGGCAGAACTGAACCTCAACAGAAGACTTTCG